TTGTGTTGTGAAAATTAATTCTTAGTGCAATGCAATGCTATACGGAAATGTAGTCAGCATAATACTACTAAAGAAATCTAAATTTTTTTCTTGGGATATTTTCTGTATCCCCCAACTTTATTGAGGGCATTTTTCTGCAATGAAAACTCAAAAGTTGAAAATGAAGCAAAAAACTATTTGCATATAAATTTCCAAGAACACATGAAAAACCACAAGTTTCAATCGATTCTATTAGACGTGATTCTCTCTTTCCTTTACCCCATGTAATTTCCACTCCAGATATTTATCATAGAAGTGCTTCCAAAATTGGAAAGTATACTGTTCAAATTTGAAAAAGACAGGTTATAAATAAATCATGTACAATAAATCAAGAGCTCAGGACATGCAACAACAGATTATAAATAAACGAAGAGATCAAAAGCACACAACAAATCAAACAATCAAGAAGACAGAATTTGTTAACAAGAACTGCCTACATCAGCGGGACTCAATGTGCAGAGTCCGATCTTATTGCAAGGATCCAAATTACACACTCAGAATGATGTTCAATAGCTCACAAAAACCAGCGTTTCTCACTCTATTTCCCTTAGTCCCCAATTACAACCGAAAAAAATGCCTCTTAAGAAAATCGCTCTCAAAGCTCTCAAGCAAAACAGACTAAAACCAACAGAGTGAACCAGTGAATTACATAAATGATCAAGTGCCCTTATTTATACAGATACAACAATCTCATATAACTACATAAAAGACAATATTGACTAATAGTTCGAGCAATCGGCATTTGAGATCCAAATTATGCGGCACATCAGCAACATTAACTCTAACATTACAGATCAACAGTGCAGCCTGCAGAAACTAAAGGTGGCACATTTTATGTAAAGTTAAGAGTTTGAACAATAACAAAGGGTTCATAAGAAAACTAGCATTAGTTTTGGAGAAAATTCTTACCAATCCATTCTCTAGTTGAAGAGAAAAATACGGTGGCACAAGTCCCCTGCTTCCACAGAAGCGAAAACTAGTGATGCAATTTCACTTGTTTTTGTGTTTTGATTTCACCACCCTCTTCTTTAGTTTGCATCATATACCATTAACTTAAACAAAGGATGCATTCCGAAGATGCTTCACTTGTACTAAGAATTGGCGAATCTCAAAGAAGAAACATAAGTAGACAAAACAAGGTTCTGGCCTCTGAATACTGCAGAGTCCATGATGCTGCAACTCCTAGAAAGTGTCCTACTGAAGCCAAAAAAAAGGTAACATGGTAAGATTGAGAGCTTAAGCAAAAACAAAAAGGGGATTACACAAAATAAGGTTCTGACCTCTGAATATTTAAGAAGAAACATTAGTAGACATTCCTCCT